CTTTATATCAATAATAGGTTCAAATTTCAATATTAACCCACAATTTTAATTATTTATTTTTTGCACATACACAGGATTGGTTGGAAGTAATTCTTCAAGGTCAACTGGTTGCTATAATGGTAAATTGTTAAATAACTGTTCAAGACGATAATATTTGGTTTTGTCTATGGGTGTTACCTGAATATTTCGCTTATGGACTTGGATTGTTGTAGCGTGATCGACAGTTTTTATAGGAGTTTCTGATGCATGATTAGAAGCAGTAATTTCGTGTTGGTGGTGCAAAAATCCTACATAATTAGAAATAGTTACAATAAAAATATCAAGTGCGTCGCAGAGCTAATTAAAATTATCCTTCAGTATCCATGAAGAAGTAGCATATGGGGCAAGGGCTTGACAATGTAAATTTAATTCGTTTGCATCAAAGGGTTTTCGTGAATGTTTATATGATTCTGGATTCATACAGCCAAAAAACTCGAGAAAAAGCTCAGGTATATGATAACTACGTTCTTCAAATTTCTGGTAATCACGCATATCAATATACCAAATCGCTTCAGTTAAACAAGCAACAAATTGCTTTCCTTGCGTATTAGTATATGACTGTGTAGACGATCTGCTACTATGATATTGAATCCAATCAATAATATCGCTTCGCAATTTTTGTTTGTGATTCACTTTTTCTAATTGCGTATAGGTTGGAAAATACAATCTGCTTCGGCTCGCGTTTTGCATTAGGATCGTGAAGCTATTTTGTTGCGATTCCAAATTAGAAATTACATTATCTGTTTTGAGCCGAAAATACACATATATTCCTACATTTGTTGTAACCTCTATGATATTATAGTTAAAGCTAACTTGGGTTGCAGTCACATCCTAGGTCTTACTTATTTCAATACGTTCTATTGTTTCAGGATCTATAGTGTCAATATTACACTCTTGAGATAATTCTCTGGTTGTAAGTTTAACAAACAAATCTCTAATTGACATTTCATAAGGAATTAGATGAATATACCACCTATGGATGACTTTTGATCCTTTAGAGATACGAATACTTGCAATTGGCATTTTCTTATGAAGTTTAAAGAGAATTATTAAAATATTAAAAGTTTATTATTACGATATAAGTAAATTTACATGTTTTAGATCGATTTATAAAAGTTGCTTCAGTTTTTAGTAACTAACTTTTATTTCTTATATTTGTAAAATTAAAGTTTTGAGAAGCTTTATTAAAGGGTTAAGAGATGCAGTTTAAATACATTTCAATCATCTCACAGATATTTTTAAATAAATTTCTTTATCTGCCTTGTGTAAATGATATAACAAAAAGATTATTTGAATGAATTCCCTTTCTTACAACTTTAGAGAAACCTTATACTACAACCACAAAACCACAAACCCACCAATTCATTGAAGAAAAATTCCTTTTTCCAACAACTGATTATCAGTATATAAATAAATTATCACCTAATCCTTCGCACTATCAGGCCCAGATCACATAAACATTTTTCACAACATGCTATTTGACTACAAGTATGATGGAATTAGAAATAATATTAATTCATCTATGATTCTCTAAAAAGAGCCTGGCGCGGATCTGTCAATAACGTCGCTTAAAGTTTATTCCTTGATAATAATTTGTCCAAGAAATCTTGATTACAAGTAGACTGGAATTGGAAATAGTGGTAATTAATCTATGATGCTCTAAAAAGGGCCTAGCGCAGATTTGTCAATCTCTGATAATAACGCGTTCAAGAAATGTTTATTACAAGTATGCTGAAATTGGAAATAATGGTAATCTATAATGTTCTAAAAAGGGATCTATCAATTATATCGTTTAAAGGATTTTTCTTAATATAATGCGTATCTAAGAAATGTTGATTACAAGTACGCTGAAATTGGAAGTAATAGTAATTTATAGTGCACTAAAAAAGGCTAGCACTGATCGGAATTTTCCAGTGGCACAACGATTCAGATTTTGTAATATAATCATACTATAAATAGAAATAAATATAAAAACGTAACAATGGAAGGATGAAAGGCTACGATAGTACATATATTTTTTTTGTAGTATGAACTTGGTAAGTAACCTTCAATTATATTTTCTGAGACATTGACTCGGATCGGACGCATATATCGTTATACTAGAATACATATTAAACAGATTTGAAACTACGCGATTTGTAAGGTAGCTATATATATTTACTGAACTATTAACTTATAAAAACTATTAACTATAATAATTATCGTTGACT